GCACGAACCGCCACGAAGCGGCGCACACAGAGCGTGTGTCTACGAGAGGCAGACATCCGTTTGTCTGGCCTCGGCCCGGCCATAAGGCCCCAAGGCTGTTTTACGCGAATAAATTTATGCGAGTCCCTTCCTCGCTCAGCTCGAGCCGTGCCGAGTTTCGTTGACCCGACACATTTCACCGGGCTTTCTCGTCGCTAATAACATAAGTAATTACCGATCGACGGTCTTTGTCCGGCCAGGCGGACTGATTTTCAATTGCAGATTCCGGTTCGCGCCGCGCCGTTTCGTACTCGCGAGAGCAACACCGAGTTAGCTGTTATAAATAGAATGGAAAAAATGAGCAGCGAGTGGAAGATTTAACGCGGTAAACAGACGACCAGTTCTCCGAGTCGAACGCATTTACATAGTCCACTTTGGGCAGTGATTCACAGCCCAGATCCATGTAAGGCCCGGCGTCTCTTGGCTGCACGCCTACGGCCAGACGTAGACACGTCGAGAGATAAAAAGGCGATCGGAGGACCGAAAAGGCGAGGAGCTGCAACTATCGGCTGCGAAATATCGGAGCGTCGATCGGGCCCAAAATACAGAGAGCTCGTTAATTCCCCTGCAGCAAGCTCCTCGCGTCGACTACCACTCTCCTCGTGGGAGAAAAGAGGGATCTCTCGAGGATCGTCCCCATCGATCTTCCCGCGTCGATCGATCCGCAAAGCAATTAGGGCGAAACTCACGCAGCTCTGACGGACTGAATTACGAGAGTTTGCAATTTTTATTACTTTCCAAAATTCCTAGCAGTCGGTGGACCTTTAATTGCTCGTTATGCTCGATGCAAAGTAGCGTTTCTGTAGCGTAATCTAATTGTACGAATTTCATAATTTAGATGGATATTTCCAACGACCTTTGAATTCGATAAGAAAAAGAAAAAAAACCGTAAGCGTCTTGAAATATTTTCCTATATGTTTGGAAGACTTTGGAATTTTCGTTGAAATATTTTCCGCTTTCTCGCAATTTCTCAAGAGTTACTTCTGTTCTCGTTCCTTATTTCGGTCCTGTGCAACGAAAGGGTACCTGCTGCACACACGATCGGACGGATCTCACGTGCGCGCCGTTAAAAAGATGTTGCCCCGTTCCGCGTCGACGTCCGGCTGCGCGCGGGGCCCGGTCTGTATAGGTGCACGGTTCGAACTCTCCCGCCAGTGGCAGGGCCCGTCAGTGTCTCTCGCGTTCTCGCACGGGGAACATCGTCTCCTCTTCGATCGCGTCCTCGCGGCCTTTCACCACGTTTCTCCCCTCCCCTTTCGTCGTGCGACGTGTCCGCGAACAAAGTAGCAAAAGTCCCAGAAATCCGACTAAATGAGAGTTTTCCGCGGTTAGACCCGTCCGTACTCCGTTCTTCCTTACCTTTTCTCCTCTTCCTTCTCCTCCCCTCTTCGTCCCCCTGCAATAGACACTTTCGGAGTATCTCTACTCGAAGGTTGGATCGAATAAGTGGAAATGGAGTCGGGATCGTGGAGACTGCTATCGTGCTGGATATTTATCCTTGGAGCGGTGCAGGCAAACGGTGAGCATAGTACAGTGCCGGTAGAGAGAAGGAGAGAGACGGCGATTATTCTCCGGAGAAAGAAGACGTGTCCTGAATTTGAAAGTGCTCGTAACGTCACGTGGACAGTGGATGCGTGGCTCAAGGCCGATAGCCGTTCACTCGTCCGTTGTATTCGTTTTACGCCTAGATCGATAGCTATCTCTCTGTCTATCCCCGTTCTTCCTTCACCATTATGCGAACCCGTCGGTATAACGTAGCAGTCGACGCCTATGATGATTAGGGTAATTGTACTATTTTGTTAGGCGGACGACGGAAATGTTGCATAAAGCGAGAAGCATATTTTCGAGCCAGGGATAATTATTTATCGCGCCCGTTGCTTTGTACCTTTTAGTTTGCTCCGTAGACATCGCTGATCAAACGATGAATTTTCCCACTGCATCGGCAATTAACCTGGCTTTCGCGAAACGGAAATATGCCGGTGAATTGAGTAAGAATGTTAATAATAATACACGATAGACTCGAAACTCCCGTGATTTACGCGCGAACAATAAAGTTTCCCGATGAATCACGCAATCCCCCTGCCTGTGTACACACATCTACACTCTCTTCTCATTGCCCGTGGCCTGTGGCGTTACGTATTTACCAGTCGTCCACGGCGAAAGTAAGTGTTTTTCCCCGGCGTGGTTATCGGGAAAAATATGCTCGCCTGTCCGTACTTGGGCCGTTAAAAGATTCAGGGAGGATGGGTTTTTGCGCAATAAACGAGTAATTCGTTTCTTCGAGTTAATTCCTGCGCGTAAGCTTAATGGGCCGTATCGTCTGGGTTGATCGATTTTCTTCCTCGTTTCTCCCGCGGATTCTCGGTCGGTCACTCTCGATGGAAACTGATTATCCAGCCACGGCTGGACCGGTGTAACGAGCAAAAGACTCTGCAGAATGCCCGACGCGAGGGAATCCTTTCTTTCTGTCGCGGGAAGAAAGGGAACGCGTGGAGGAAAGTGATTTTCCACGCTTCGAGTCGCGTTCCAACTCCGTGCCTCTCTGCTGCTGCAGATTTAACCAATTCTTTTTCGACGAATCCCGAGACTCGCAGGGTCGTTCACCTTTCCGTGCCTTTCGTATTCCTCTCTCTTGTCTCCGGCTGCTTCGGATTCGCGGCACGTGGCCTCCGATCGAGCAGATTTTTCAGAGACACCGATTCCGATAGCCTCCCTTGTGGTCGATACCTCACCAGGAGGAAATGAAAACGCTGAGATGGGAACGCGTTCAATCAGCGGCTAAATCGAGTCGTCCGATTAAAATAAAGTGGCCAGGCCGCAGCGGTTCGTGTGGCGTGATGAAATAGTAATCGTCGCGGTTTCGCGGCGCGGCGAAAAATCTCGCGAGCCATCGCGAGCACAGCATCCCGTGGGTTTCGCGATCGGCTGAAACACGTGGCGAGGAATGAGGGACGATCAGTGGCGTAGCTGTGGAACAAGAAACCCTCAGCTCTCGAGGAGTGATCGGCAGCTACGCGACGGTACAACTTGTCAATGACCCCTCTTACGGTGGAGATGAAGAGACGGATGGTAGCGCGAGTGACAGAGAAACCGAGGTCGCGGTTGATTTAATTGCACGACAGCGGTTCGCGATCGTGCGCTCGCCTTGTATGCGAAACGAGGATTCGCGGAAAAGTGAATCGAGTGGGTGTTGCCCGGTGTCGTATGCGAAGCGAACGCTTCCAACGCCCTCCACAAACACCTCCGCTGTCCCTGGAAGACCCGGCCGTATCAGTCACGTAACATCCGCCACATAACCAAATACAAAAGGCGAGAGATGGAAGGAGTTGAGGAGAAAAAGGGAATAAAAGGAGGCGAAAGAAAGGGAGAAGATGGGATAAAGTGGCGGCCCTGGAGGAGGAGAATGCGAGAGGAGACGGTGGGAGTGAGAGTGGGAGTGAGGAATCGGCTGGGAGAGGCCATAGGAAAACCGGTTGCCAATCTGCAGAGAGAAAGAGAGATAGAGGAGAAAAGGGTAAAAAGGCCGACACTCCGGTTTTCAGCAAACCGATCCACCGTCCGATCGATTTTCATCGATTTTTGCTCGCGGGACCACCGTGGAGGTCGGGGCAGAAAATAAATGCGCAGGGGGGAAGAACCGGTGGAGGAGAATATACAAAGGCTGCGAGGCAGGCGGTGGAAGGAAAAGTAGAAGCGAAGAGGATCGTAAAAGCGGCTGCTTTAGGTTCAAAATGTCCTAGACGTTCCTGTCGGCGATCCAGTTTGAAATGGAAACGACCTCCGAGGACTCTGGATCTCCTTAGAAGGTCTAGACGTCGGAAGATTGATCGTTTCTCCTCGGCTAATAGCTTCGATTAGGCGTTTCTCGTAAATTGTTATTGTCAGTCTCTTTCTGCTTATCAGCGGTTAATCACCTCCATGGGAGAAATGTACGATTATCGAGATTACGTTGTTCTGGCGTGGTCGTTGTAGCGGATCCGCTTTTTTCCACGACGAGAATCTTTGGCCAGTTTTTCCAGAGGCGCAGGGACTGGGTCTTGGCTGTTGGACGATCCTCCGTCGCTTCTCGTACGATTTTCCTCCTCTCCTTGTTCTCGCGGAAATTACCATTTAGGAAGGATAGCGGTTCTGGACGAAAAATTTGTACAGTTACCGCGGCTCGTTCTACGAAGAAGATGGAGGAGGAGGAGGAAATGATCACCGAGAGGATCGTGAACTTTGACACGGAATCCTTTACTCTTGGCCGTGCATGAATGGTGATCCGTTGATGGAAGAAACGTGCCATCCATTCTTCGTCGCTTCTTTAACATTCCACGCCACGCTGACTACGTTATTCCCTCGTAAACGTTATTCACCGTGGAAAGTTTTTCCACTAAAAGCCACCCGTTACCTTCTCAAACGCTCTAAGCTCTAACGTGCTCCTTAACCAAATCGAAGAAAAGAGCGTTCGATAGAGCTTTCTCAGCCGTGTCTAAATTCGCTCGATAATACCGCAGGCGTGATCGAAAGATAATAAGAAAGGAAGACTCTCTCTCTCTCTCTCTCTCTCTCTAAATGTAAAATACGATTTTGCGGAACAGATAGCTCGGAGCGCAGCTCGACGGCGATAGCATTGGTGACCTCTTCTCGCGGTAGATTTCTGCGTCTCTGTAGTTCACGCGGCTGTCCCTCCAGCCAAATATGGCGGATACCGGTCGAACCACTCGCGGTGCACGCGTGTCGTGTCACCGCGGTGGCTGCGTGGGCACGCGCAAAACTGTGCGTGTGGAGACGAAGAACAGACAGGAGCACCCACGGGCGAATTCCTGCCGTTCGACCATCGTCCCTCCGCGCCGTATAAGCGTCACGATACCAGAGGTTCGCCGTAAAAATCGCTCAGCGCTACTTCGCCTCCGTTTCAGGGAGGCAATATCTTCTTGCCTATTCCCATACGCGACGATTGACACGTAAAGAACACGCTCTGGCGATACTTTACGCCTCCGTGTCTCTCCCACCGGTCTCCTTAGATGGACTTTCGCGAATACAAGTATGATTCATTACGGGTAATTGTGTCAAAATGATTCTTCCTGACGTTCTCGTTTGCCGTTTGATCCGCGGTAAGGCGAGTTCGGTAGTTCAGCTCGAAGGATTTCCACCTACCGGATCTACGCATCTGGGACGTAATTTCAAGCTGGTCTCGCGTCGCGTCCACGGAGTAGCAATTGTCGAGAAATGGAGTGTAATCAAGCCGGCGAGGTTTCGACGACCGCCCAGTCCTGTCTGTCGCCGTTTTTCGAATAATTGTCTTCGCCGTCGATCTGTCCCATTACCGGTGGCCGATCTCGCTCGTAAACCTTCGCAACCACTCGTTTTCACGATTGGTAATGACGGTACGAATGCTTAGACCACTGCTTCATTATTCGATCCGAGCACACTCCTTTCGATCATTAATCTTCCCGCGACTCTTTCTCGATAGTCCCGTAATTCGTGAAAGTCGCGCAGTCATTCGGAATTCATTAACAAAGACGCTGCTTTCCATTCAGCAAACTGTAGAAGCCGCCCCGTGCGTTCGATCGGAGAAAGAACGCGACTGAAAAGGTGACAGCGCAGAGGGAAAAAACGGAAAAGTTGGTTGCTTGGTCGGAAATTGATTCTTCAATAGGTGGAAAAGGAGACGTTGGAATTCTCCGCGACAAGGGAAGAACCGACGGTTACAGTAATCGAGGAAACATTAATAAATTGGATTTCACGGTGAAATTCAAGATTAACGAATGCTAACGAACGTAATTATTACGGCGGCGGTTCGAGAGGAAGTGGCATAACCACGCAATGGGCAATATCTTAACGAGATACCAGGGTAGACGCGGTGGCGAAAATTGTTGCCGCGCAAAAAGGGGATAAAGAGGAAAAATACGTGTCGGAGGATTTCCTCGATCAGATTAGGAGCAGCTGGAACACAGGTCGTAAAGTAACGGCAATGAAAACGGCCGGTTAACCAATCCTATCGTTTCCAATCGAACGAACCAGGGAACCCTTTCACCGATTCTCCAAACGGCCAAATTCTTCCGATACTCTTTTCACTTTTCCACTATTCACGCTATTTACTCGAATTTACGGCCGGCAATTAGCTGACTCTTGGAGAGAGGGGGTGGGGAAAGTGAACTGCGAGTAGGAGACCGTAGGTATCGAAGGTTTGCAGTTTACAAGCGGTGCATTTGTAAGGATTAAAAAGGCGTCTTCTGCAGGGAAGCGTGTCGAGTATGCGCCGCCACGCGTTCGCGAGCGAGCGAGCTGGATCGCGCGTATAGGTTCCCAGACGAGCATCGTTCGTGCGTGTCTCTCGCGGAGAGACGGGGTCTGTATCAGAAAATTCCAGTGTTCTCTGCCGATGATCGTTACCTCTCCTATCGAACGCCATAAATCTGCCCCTCGCTCGCTCTCGCACGCCTCACCGGCAACGTTTACGCGTACACCGCAATAATTGCACGTTATGGTCGACGGTGAAGACACGGTTGAAATTAAAACCGAATTAACTTTTTAGTTTTGATAAAAGCTCGCCCGATCCGTGGAATTTGAAAAGGGACAACTTCCCCGATCTATTTAACAGTGGAATAATTGGAAAGAGAACGCGAGAGTCCGAGAACGAAGGAGGTAAGGACGGACTCGAGGAAACAATTAAATCCCTGGATCAGATAAGCACGCGAGTATCCTCTGGAAAATGTATTCCGTGGCTCGGGTCGGGAGCTACAAAGTCTGGATAATAAAGCGTGCCGGAAGTCGCCTGAAGATAGATCCACTCTGATTCGATATCTCGAGGATGACAGTGCACGAGGAAGTCTCTTTGAACGACAAAAGGATGTATCCTGGAATAAGTTGGTGGACCGTGGAAAAAAGTCTACGTTTCTTAGCGATATATCTCGATCGAAATTAGTAATTTCTCTTTCTATCGGTGGACGAAGAAATGAAAGAAAGGAGAAAAAGGAGATTCCGTTACGCGTCGGCGGTAATTAAGAGGGAACAGCCTAAAAGAATACCGTAGAAATAATCAGCTCGTTACGTTTTCGCGTATAATGGCCGAGAAGAATGCGGGACCGAAAGAAGTGGCCACGTAACGACGCGTGTGAACGTTTTACGCACCAGCGATCCGAGGCGTGAAATTGTTTAAATAATCGGCCGCGGGATATTACCGAAAACGCGCGGTAACGGTAATCGGTACCATCCGCTTACCAAAGCGCATAATTCGTGCACGGATCGCAGCCCGTGATAAATTATTCATTCTGCATTTGGCGCGATGCACCTTGCTCCTTGTGTTTCGTGACTGGCCACGATCGATCTCGTTTGCATCCTTGTCCCTTCGATCTCCGAATCAACGGGACGTGGAACAGCGTGGAAAATAGTGAAATAGCGAAAAGTGGTTCTTGCACGTAGTCGAAAAAGGATTGAAGAGAAATTCATTTCCCTGGGATTTCGTCGATCCGAGTTGCTTGGGTATGCGACACACGAGCGATCGCTTCCGCGCAATCGATTACGCGCGACAGAGTCGACCGGTAGCGGCGATAGAAACGACAGACAGCGCAGCACCGAATTCCAAAGGCGAGAACCTCGCTTCTAAAGGCAATCCTTTTCCACCGATTTCTTCACCGAGTTCGAACAAGACAGGAAAAATCTATCCGCTCCCGGCGTACCGATTACATTATCGCCCACCTCGACGATTCAACGCGTTGCTAGAGATTCCCGCCTTGGAGCACAATTTAATCACACCGGCTGATGCTCGACGGATAATAGGGTAGAAACATGTGGCGAAGATCGGCTGAGAGTAACTTTGTGTAGATCTGCTTGCAGAATCTATTTAACGATTCGTTCCGTGAAAAATGGAGGAATCACTTGTTTATGGATAATGCACTGTTTGCTATTTTCGGTTACTGCTCGCGTAAAAAATGCCGCGGTAATCACGGAGTTTGGGGTGGAAAGATCGGAGAGGAAGATAGAGATGATATCGATCTCAACCGCGGTCCTATCGACGGAATCGTAGACCGCTAATGATCGTTGATGATCAGTGATTTACCGCTCGAGTGTGTATACCGGCGTGGCCAAAGGAACCGGAATGAAATCACCGTTACCGAGTCCGCTCCTCTTTTATCACTCTCGCGGCCAACCTGCCTCGCATCGATTACGAACTTTCGATCCTGTTACGCAGTCGTGGAACGCTCCGCGCGTTCTGCTCGCCGCCTCTGGCATTCCTCTCGTAATTTTCACTTGGTCTCTTCACCTTCGCGTATTTCTCAAATTGCCCGTTTCGCCTCGAATATCTTTTCTTTCTCTCGTCGAAAGGTATATAGGGAAGAATTGCAGCACATGTGTGGCGCAGATGTGAAATCGCCTTAACGGAGAAGAAAATTCATCTTCTTCCCAGCTGTTGCATTGTCAGAGGGAGAAAATAATTCTTAGCGGCGCGTGGAGATCGAGTAATTGAATTATGTAGCGAGGCGGCGTTTGAATTAGCGTCTACGGCCGCGAGAGGAACGCGAGTGGCGAATTTATTTGCATAACTGCGAAAACGTAGGCGGCCGTTTAATTAACGTCCCGCGGTAACGAGGGTCTTCCACTGTGCTCCCTGGAAATTGTCGCAATTAATATCGCACGTTCTCTAATTACCAACCGATGTAACGTATCGTGTAACGATTAACGGCCCTCCCGCTTCTTCCACAACTTCTCTCCTCCTTTCGAAACGGATACACCAGATGACGATTGAATTTTAAGTCCGTCCATCTCTGGAAACTCGCCCACCGCTGTCGGTAGACTGCGGTAGTCTAACTGTACCCTCGAAAGCGTATCGATTTACGAGCGTTGCACTTTGCCAGTAGAAACCGGAAGTCGTAAAAACCTCGAAGAAACGACTGTTGCGCCTGTGGTGTAGAGAAACGATATCAATGTCTCGTATCCGATCTGGCGAGGATCGCCTATGGTGAACACGATGTCTCCAAAACTGATTTCTCGACTGCTCTAAAGACCGGCGGGGGGGTTGGAACCCCATGCTGGGCCACCGCACAGTTCCCGCCAATAGCTACGCGATAACGATCGTTATTATTCGAGGCGGCACGACGGCGAAAGGGGGAATTGATTCAACGGTTAATTCGTCGTCGGTGAAATGGAAACAACGTTAGAACGTTCCTAATTGCAAGGTGCGATCGATTCTCTCACGGTAATCGCTCTAGTTGTACTACTATAGGAGAGGACACGCCTACGTAGAGCGCTTCCTGCTTGGACCGATTCTGAACACCGGTGCGTTTATCGGCCGGTTTAATTGCCACAGGCAGAAATTTCCGAGCGTTCTCGTTCCTTACGATGCCAGAGATTAACAGTCTCTCTGCCCTTCTCCAGACGAGCCTCTGTACAGTTAACGCCGCGTGGACGACGAACCGCGAATGCTAATCGCGTCGCACCGGATTTCCACCCTTCCGCGTCCACGCGGGTCGAATGCGACGTACTTGATTGAAAAAAGACGTACGCAATTAAAGATCGTTTGTTAAAACCGAGGATGGAGAAATAGGGCTACTTAAGATGGGCTTGTTTACGCTCTCTGTACCCCCGGGTGTAGCCCTTTTCACGGGCGGAAACGAGACAGAAAACCGGAAGAAACAGGATACCACGCGAATCCGGGGAAAAGCATTACCGACCAAAGCATCGAACACCTTCTATCGACAGTGAAACCGGTCACCGATCCGGTCTCTCGCGTGTTGCCTGGCGAAACACGAGGGATAAAATAAGAGGAATAAGAGGTCAGAGACCCCTTCGAAGATGTACGAATCCGGCTGGAGATCGCCGCGTTATCCACGCTGGATCTCGAATCGAAATAAAGATCGTCCACATGCTGATACCGGCCGCTGAGTCACGATGAGCATGGTATCCGTTGCTGTTCGTGTGCGTTGGAACGATACAGAGAGGCGGCAATGCTCGAAGGAATAATCGAATCTTAGGTGTGGACGAGTAGATGTTAATCTTCTGGCAGAGGGCTAAGGAGAGGTAGGTGGACCAAGGTGAAGGAGGAGCGAGGAGAGACACGGAGAACGGAATTCTCGGAGGCGATGCGTGCTTCTCGGATCTAATGGCGGAAAGGAGCGCAAACAGGAAGGAATCGCGGGGAATAATAAGGGAGAAAGGGTCCAAGGGTCACGTAGCCTCTGGAGAGTGGTTCGCGGAACGAGCAGGTCCGATGGAAAAAGGAGAAAGAAAACTGACGACATCATTTAGGAAGAAGAAGATGGAAGCGGGAAGAGTCTGTCGAGAAAGTGAAGAAGCGTACAGGACGAGGAACCAAAGGGGGGAACAGTCTGGCTTGTGGAAGTGTGTGCTCTCGGTGGCTTGTAAAGAGGCTGCAGCGGCGGGGCAAAAACGTAGCGGACGTCGAAAATGAGAAAAAGGAAAGGAGGGGAAAGAGGAACGGGACGAAAGGAGGAGAAGAAGTTTAAGGTCACGGACCCCTGTACAGGTGGTTGTGGAGGCATTTTGAGCTCGCTAATGGAAAAGACGGACAGTACCGGGGGATATTTGAAAGTGACAGACGATATTATTAATCGTCGATATTGTTAATCCCCGACGTGGGGACTCTCTGTCACGATGCTCCGTCTAAGAAGCTTCCTCAACGGAGTGTTGATCGGATCGGAAGGTTTTAAACCGAGGTGATCGTCGGATGAACACGTTTCTGAAAGGTGTACGGCGCGTCGATCACGATGGAATTAGACGTCGATGAAGGGGGAGCGTGATGTTTCCTCCGAGATTCACGGCTTGAATCTATTCAATTATCCGTCTGCTCGTTTTCCCAAGGTGGATGCGCACGGAGGTAGTGCAAACCGGTGGTTTCGGTGGACCGCGAGGACGTTACCCGCGAACGGCGAAAGTATCTATCATCGAGTTCCGCGAATAAACAGGGACGAATAAGCCTGGCTATGCGTCGGAGCATCGCGAGAGTTTCCAAGGCCGAGACGTTTACGACTTTATGGGCCAATTACCGTGCAAGTTAGTTTGCGGCCACGTCCAACAGCTCGCCGCGCCGTCCTTCCTAGACGCGATACTTGTTAGATATTTCATTTCTCCTCTCTTCCACTTTTTGTCATTTTGTTCTCGTTCCAGTTCAGAGCAAAGTGAGATGCTCCGAGCAGTGGATGGAGGTTGACATCGTGAGGAGTAGTCCACAGGCGAGGATATATCTTCAACAGATGAAGGACTTTCCAGGTAAATCGTGAGATGTGGAAGCGGGAAACGAATGGATGTTACACGTGATCTTCGTTTACAGACGAAGCTTGCAAGCCACGGTTGAGCAACGGTGTCGCCACGTTCCGATTGCCGCTCCTCGAACAGGACATGCTGCGATGCGGTATCACCAGGGTCGTTAACAAAGTCACGGTAGGGCATAATTACCCGCTCTCCGCGAGGCCTACGCGACCGTTCGATCCCACTTGGACATTTTGCGGTGAAAGAGTCCTTCTCTTTCCTTAAGCCGATCGGTCTCTACGTGTATCGAACAAGCGCGGATATTCGCCGTTCAATTTCCTTCAGGTGAATCGTAACAAGTTTCGATGGAGTAAAAGCGAAGGTTGGAGAGGATCGAACGGACGCGTGGAGCCCGTGCACCGCGATAACCTGCCGGCGACTCGTCTCATTGTTTCCGCCCGATCCCATGGATTCGAGCTAAATTACAGCCGCGTAATGATACCACAGGGTCAGAAGGTGTACTTTCATCGGATAATAGTGGAGGAGCCCGCGGATTCCAACAAGCACACGTTCACCGTGAAGTGTGTTATCACCGAAGTCGTTGTGAAACCTGGAATCTTGATCGCGGCCAATCACACTGCCGTCCGAAGGAGCGTTCTTCCAGCAGGCTTTCAGGAACCTGAGTAAGCTCATCCCTCTCTCTACCCAAACATTCTCCATATTTATTCGACGTTGCAACCGTTTAACCGCAATTACCAGACAGCTGTTCGACTCGAGTTTTCAACCTGAAATAAGATCGCGATCGTACAGACGTAACGTTAGTTCTCGATTCACCGAGACTTAGGCCTGTTATTAATACGCCATTGACAAGCGTTCGTTCACCCTTTAATTGGAGCAAGACGGAGCTCTGCTCGTCTTTCGAATTATACCTCTCTGAATGATTCGTTCTAATTAGACTGGCTGAATAGGAGGTGTCGATACCATAAGGCGATCCTGTAACGGTGTGTGTGCGCGCGCGTGTAAGGAATAACGGGGCGAAAGAATTACGTCTAAACGAGGATGAGATCGGTCCACCAGGATTTGTTCCAACAAAAGCTCAAGTGTAATTTTAGCCTGGCGCACGTCGCGTTCCTCTCCGTTCCTTTTTCTGCCTCGTCGCTCACTTCGCTCATAAAGCTCACTTCGCCAGTCGTTCGTATTTCTTGGTTAAAAGAAACTTCTCGCGATCGAGAACGATTGAGTACGAAACTCACTTCTCTAGGCGACAATTTTCCCACGGACGTTCCTGTTCCCTGGCGCTAATTTATTGCCACTAATCGATCGTACGACATTTGGAAAATTGGACATTGGAAAATTCTTTCTCGATCTTGATAACTGTTTTCCGCTTCCACGAAATCGGTGGAATTGCACGCCAGGTGCGATCGGATGCGTTAGGATTATCTACGTAGGATCGAACAAGTGGAAAAAGAAGGCACGAAACGTTTAGATAGAAAGTTTATCGTCGTTCGCGTCTCCCGACTTCGGTACCGTTCGAGAAGATGCGCCGTACAGTTTTGCGGAAACGACCGATGACTCGACAGAAGACGGTAAGATTCGATGATTGTCGAAAGTAGCCCAGGCCGTATTCACGGTTCGATTAGCCGTTTTCCGTGTTGCGGCCGGTAAACAGGTTAATTTCGCCGCGGCTGTCAACGAAATCGCGTGGATCACCGTAATCTACCGGGGCACTGAAAAGTGCCGTTTTCCTCGCTGCTTTTTGCCCGGAAATTGCATTCGAACGCGTCTTCCGCGGGATCGATTGTTGCCACTTGCCAGATGGTCCCATCTGATTCCCCTCGCAATTTCACGATTTAGTGTGAAACTGCGTTTCTTGCGTCGAACCGAGATTTAACGCGCGCCTTTTGCTTCCTGTTCAGCGTGATCGACATCAGGGGAGAGATTTCCGAGTCTGCACCGGTACCGATATTGGGTGTCGGCGTTAGGCAAGGTGGCAATCTCGTCACTGGAGAACTGAACGTCAGTCCAGGAACACCGTTGCAGATGGAGATCTTTTTGGACAACGGCTCTGCCCCGGTTTACGGCCTTTTGGTCACTTACATGCTCGTCACAGACACGAAATCTCAAGAGGAGACGATCATTATCAACGGGTAATTCATACTCTATCTCGACAGTCGACACGATCGTCGAACCCAAAATTTGACCAATTTCCCTTCGATGTCAAGCTGTTCAGTGGACCCCTATCTCTTCGAGAACTTCAACACGGTGGACGGTGATTTCCTCACGGCGAAATTCCGCGCTTTCAAGTTCCCAGAAAGTACTTACGTTCAGTTTCGCGGTACCGTTAACGTCTGCCTGGACAAGTGCCAAGGGGTACGTAAATTCTCGCCAGTCACACTCTCTCCCGCTATCGACCAACGTCACGGGTGAATAATGTTACAGATCGAGTGTAGCAACGGTCAAATTGGATTCGGAAGAAAGAGGAGAGCCATCGACGTTTCCAACACGGATAAGAACAAGCTGTTCGAAGTGACCATGTCTGCTCTCATCAAGGTCGACTTCGAGGAAGATGCTGTGGTAGACAAAGGTAAATCGAGGATAGTAATTCCTTTGCTCCAGTTTCGCAGTCGTTCAACGACGATCGTTATGCTCCGTAGCTCTGTCCGAGTTGTACATCAGAAGGGGAAAGAACAGGACGAAAGCCAGAGCGGTGATCGCTGAAGAAGTGAGGGAACAGGCAGCTCCGACGACCATCAGGACAGAGGAGAGAGCTTTCATAGCGCAAGAAGTGAAGGAACAGTTCAAGTACAAGGTTACCGAGACGGAGATGAGCGGTTTTTTTTACAGCGCTCTTGCCCATCCTCCTTATCCCTCTTTGCCTTTGCAAATTCTTGTAGGATCCAAGAGAAACGTCGGTTGACGAGCGACTGTAAATAGAACGCAGCTTGAGAACCGGCGGAATGGACCGAATCTCTTAGCCGGATGTTAGTGTAATTCCTTTTTCCTTTCTGTGCACGGGGGGAGAAACCGATCGTGCATCCCCACTTTGTGTGATATCGATACATACACATACTTCGATCCGATCTTTCTGTTAATATTTTCCAAGATTTCTCACCGAGGTTCTTTCTTCTCTTTTCTTCTCTTTCCTTCTCTTTCCTTCTCCTTTTTTTCGACAGTCTCTTGGATAATGCTAACGGGAAGATGAATTATGGCCGTGAAAGCCTTAGAGATCCGAGGAGATACCGTGTAGGCATACTAATCGCGTTGCTTCGATTCTCAACAAATGTTCTCCGCTCCGCGACCGCCGAATTTTCACTCACAACCCGTTCGTAACCCGCGAATAATTCTTCTCTCGCGCGTTTATCAAGTCCGTGGATAAAACCGTAATGATCGAATGCTCAAATATTGTACCGCCGCGCCGCGAAGGAAATTGGCCTTTGCGAGCGGGGAACGCAGAGAAGAGACCTAGTCGCGCGACCAACTGTAACGTATACGCGATGTGACTTGAGGAACTTAGACAATTACGTGGTAATTAATTGCTGCTATAATCTCAATATAATTATAACGGAACAGCGCAAGTGTAAAATAACTCGTTGTCTCGCCTCCGGTGTTCTCGCCTTCGAGGCGTGTACCGTATTTTATAGAGTACATGGAGGAAGCGAGAGAAGGTTTTAATAAAGAAACAAGACGCGCAGAAAACGTACCAACTATCCATATACTTGGAATGTTCAATAATCATGTACACGTGAGAAACTCCTTATAAAAAATATATTCCTTTGGCTTTAAAATAATATCAGAGGGACCACGAACACTCGGTGATAATTTCACGATTGGGAGATCACAGGTGCTATCGTTCGTTACACGAAACGCTTTACATACGGAATATACCGTATTTACTTTCTGGGATGGGTGCGTTCAACGCCGCGGATAAACTCAGTCCCAATACCACTCTGGTGTCCACCGGATCGATCACACCGTCGTTCCAAAGTCTAGAAATTAAATTATACCAATTATCGGAAATTTGACGTGCAAGTGATAATTATAAAGTCACCTAGCGCTGCTGTAATACGGACTGCTCTCTTTCTCGAACTGTTCTAAGATTGGTCGCTTCAAACTCTCTTCCTCTTCCGCTGTCCACTGTCAAAACGGACGAGATTAATGTCAGCTTGGAATGAGATGAATCATAAAATCGGTACCTGTTTCCCGTCACGTTCGCGTTGCTGTTTGGTAATTTGGACCATCACACTGGCGGCCTGTTCTCCACCCATCACGGAGATTCTGGCGTTTGGCCAGGCATAGAGAAACCTCGGTGAATAAGATCGACCGCACATGCCTGCGTGAATAATGAATGAAACAGCGAATTCTAAAGGGTGTTTATTAAGCGCGAGGTATATACCGAAATATCCTGCTCCGTAAGCACCGCCGATCAGCACCGTAATTTTCGGTACTTGAGCGCAGGCCACCGCGGTCACCATTTTCGCTCCGTTCTTCGCGATGCCTCCAGCCTCCGCGTCCTTTCCCACCATAAAACCTACGATCAGTTTCACCGTGCTAAATGGCTCGTGAAAACGCTGGAATCTTAGTCAACGACGTACCTGTGACGTTCTGCAAGAAAACGAGCGGTATTTTTCTCTGAGCGCAGAGCTGCACAAAGTGTGCACCCTTTAGTGCGCTTTCCGAAAACAGCACGCCGTTATTCGCTATTATACCCACAGGGTAACCATAAATTCTCGCGAATCCAGTGACCAACGTCTCTCCGTACTGAGCTTTGAACTCTCGAAACCTCGAACCATCCACGATCCTCGCGATAACTTCCTTCGCGTCGAACGGTTTCTTCAAATTGGTCCCCACGATTCCGTAAATTTCATCTACAGCGTGCACAGGTATGTCCAAGTGTTTATCCAGGTTCACGTGCATCGGTCTCTGCCTGTTTAAATCCTTCACTATCTGACGAGCCGTGTACAAGGCGTGGGTGTCGTCGATGGCATAGTGATCGGTCACTCCAGATGTCCTGAAAGATTATACTTGCAATCCTGCTGATGGATCAGTGATGTATCTGTGATTTGTTCGTTCACGGATGAGTAATATCAGAATAGATGTTCACCAGAAGTGAGTAGTCACCCTGTATATACCGTGTAATTACCGACAATGAAGCGCCGCGCCGCCTAAATCCTCCGCGGAGACATCTTCGCCGGTCGAAGCTTTCACTAACGGTGGTCCAGCCAAGAAGATCGTGCCTTGATTGGCCACGATCACGTTTTCGTCCGCCATGGCTGGCACGTACGCTCCGCCTGTATCAATTGATCGAAACTGTCTCGAGAATAGTAATAGAGTAGAATGAGCGAACCATGGTCAGACCTGCAGTGCAGCTTCCCATGATTACAGCGATCTGTGCGATTCCCTTTGCACTCATGTTCGCTTGGTTATAGAAGCTTCTACCAAAATGCCATTTATCTGCAAATACCTCAGCTTGCTTTGATAAATTCGCGCCTCCACTGTCCACTAAATATATGCACGGTAGGTGATTCTCTTCGGCGATTTCTTGGGCTCTTACTTGCTTCTTCACAGTGATCGGGTAGTAAGTGCCACCTTTCACTGTTGCGTCGTTCGCAATTATCACGCATTCCGTTCTGTAAATAGGTTAGGGTCCATTCTGTACTTTATTATTTTGTTTTTTCATTTTTCTTGTACTTACCCTTCTACTCTACCAATGCCAGTGATAATTCCACCAGCTGGTACTTCCTCTTTGTCGTACAATTCGTAACCAGCTAGTTGCGAAAATTCGAGGAAAGGAGACGTTGGATCGAGAAGGGCGTTAATTCTAACTCGTGGCAAGAGTTTTCCCTTCTTCGTATGCCTTTCTCTCGCCTTTTGTCCTCCACCTTCTACAATTTTCTCAACAGTCTTTTTCAAATTGTCTACGGCCACTTTCATTTGTACGTAGTTTTCCTGCAAATTTTTTTCAACGTTAGTCGACGAATTTTTCGGAACGTACAAGTATAGACTATGCTTGTAATATTCGTAATACGCGCCCAGTTTATCGTGCGTCGATGGTGTCGCCGTTCGAACGCATTCAAATAAAAAGTTTCAACATATCTTGCTCCAGTGATAAGCGAAAAGGTCAAGAGATCGATATTGTAACGTCTTTCGTATGCGTATCGGAACAACAAGTTAATATGTTGATCAGAAGTCAACTCAAAGATGAATTAATTTCAAGAGCCTTTGTTTCGTGAATTAAACACGTGTGTGTATATACATTAGTATCGTTCTAACCTGATACTCAGCTGACTGGGTGTCTTGTTCGCTGCCGATAATAGTAGCTTCATTGTGAAACGCCTTTCTAACGCGACACAAGTTTCTCGTCAAGATATTTCCTTTTCTCAGCATCTTTCTCTTTCACTAAATCTTCGACAATTATTTACTACTGTACGTACGTATTACTTGCTATGTTCTCACTCTTTCAACGCGTGCCTCCCGGCGATTACAACCACACACGAAGTGTAGGATAGATTGTACGTCTTATGATATTCTGCATCACAGAACTGAAATACCGACCTCCTGAAAAAGTCGTAGTTTCACTGCGCATTCTGCGATACGCATGAACGCAGTAAAAGTTAAAAAGTGAATAATAACGTAAACTCAATTATTGACACGAGGGATCTTAATTTTTAATATAAATCGACTCAAGATTTCATGTAAAATTATCATAAAATTCAACGTCACAAATATATGTACCTATTATAACCTAAAACGTTTCACATTTTTTATCCTGTTCCGATACCTATTTCCTCTATCCCCCTCTTTTGTACCAAGCCTATTTTACGCATTGTATAATTGTCCTTTTAAAACATTAAAAGTTTAATTAACAAAGCTGTTAATCTAATGAGTAACTTTAACACGCTGTTCGTAGAATGATTCATACTACAGTAATGAGTAAGACAAGGAAAGAGATAGAGAGAAACAAGGAAAGCAATACTTCAATGAGTTAGACAAGGAAAAAGATAGGGAAGATAAGGATAGCAATAGTACCGTGCGGTAGACAAGGAAAGGAATAGGGATAGACAAGGACAGAAAATTTGAAATTCAAAACTAACGCCATCTCGCGTTGAGTGACGCGAACTACGATTTTTTAACAGGATTACAGGATATAAACAGAGGTATTAGACAAGGAAAGCACCAGTGTGCGACAAGGATAGAGAGAGAGAACGCTTCCTATTGGCTGGCGGGCACCCAAGCTCGACCAATCACGAGCTAAACCAAGTCCGTCGGTGAAAAATCATTAATACCTCATTGATTACGATGATTCTGTGAACTTTTAAAATTGAAGAATGAAGTATGGATCTTCAGCAACTTTCACATATAGTTTTTAGTGCTCTAAAACCTTTCAATAATTAGTTATTAATAATTTTAGTAAGTGATGTCTGGAACGATACCGCGTACCGTCAATCGCCTTTGCGGTTTTTCAATAATTTCATAGCTTTTTTCTAAATTCGTATGCAACTAACTGTATGCGTTTGAAAGGCAATTCCTTTAACTACATTCTCATGTAATTTCTATTCACATATTCCGGTTAGTTTAGGAGTTATTAAATATTATTTGAGAGTTTCTCAATACATCGCACTCGTGCATAGTTAACTGTTGTGAACAATTGCTAATATCTATTAAACCACACCGCTTACGTACACCAAACTAACTGTAGAATATAAAGAAAAGTCCATTCTACATTTCACATGCTTAAAAGTCTACAATTTGTTACGAGTTTCGATTGAAATAACGAAAATGTGCAACGCTTGAATACGGCGGGTGCAATAGCTTTACGGTTGTTCAATAATTTCACAGCTTTCTACTAAATTCTCATGCAACTAACTATATTCATCAGAAAGTTAATTCCTTTGGCTACATTCTTCTATAATTTTTATCATCAGAACCCTTGTAGTTTCATTGTTATTTAACATTCTTTAGGTGAGCTCATTCATTCTTTACACACGTTGCATTCAAGCGTACCACATTTTCGTTATTTCAATAGAATTGCGTGATAAATTATGCACTTTCAAGAATGTATAATGTAGAATGGGCTTTTATCTATATTCTGCAATTAGTTTGGTAGCTGTAAGTTGTATTATTTAATAGATATTAGCAATTGTTTGTAACAGTTCACTATACTCACGTACGATGTATAGAGAACACTCTCATGTAATATTTAATAACTCCTGAACTAAACGGAGTATATTAATAAAAATTACAGAAGAATATAGCCAAAGGAATTACCTTTCTGATGCATACAGTAACGTGCATGAGAATTTAGTAGAAAGCTGTGAAATTATTGAAGAACCGTAAAGTTATTGCGTTCGCCGTATTCAAGCTTTACACATTTTCGTTATTTCAATCGAAATGCGTAACAAATTGTAGACTTTTAAGCATGTGGAATGTAGAATGGACTTTTCTTTATATTCTGCAATTAGTTCGGTGTACGTAAGCGGTGTGGTTTAATAGATATTAGCAATTGTTCACAACAGTTGACCATGCACGAGTACGATGTACTGAGATCACTCTCAAATAATGTTTAATAACTCCTAAACTAAATGGAATATGTGAGTAAAAGTTATATGAGAATTTAGCTAAAGGAATTGCCTTTCAAACGCGTACAGTTAGTTGCATACGAATTTAGAAGAAAGCTATGAAATTATTGAAAAACCGTAAAGGCGATTGACGGTTCGCGGTATCGTTCACGACATCACGTACTAAAATTATTAATAACTAATTATTGAAATGGTCCAGGGAACTAAAAAGTATATGTAAAAGTTGCTGAAGGTCCACTCTTCATTCTTCAATTCTAAAAGTTCACGAAATCATCGTAATTAATGAGATATTGATGATTTTTCACCGACCGATTTGGTTTAGCCCGTGATTGGTGGAGCTTAGGTGCCCGCCAGCCAATAGGAAACGTTCTCTCTCTATCCTTGTCACACACTAGTGCTCTCCTTGTCTAACACTTCTGTTTGTATTCTGTATTCCTATTGAAAAGTGTTAGGTCGCGTCATCAACCACAAGATGGCGTTAGTATCGCCCTCGAGTTTTTCTGTCGTTGTCCCTCCCTATTTCTTTCCTTGTTTAACTCGTTTTCCCAGCTCCATTCTTTTCTTCCCTATTCGTCTCTTTGTCCAACTCGTTTGTAACAGAAAACAAGACTGATATTAAAATATGCGATAAATTAAAAGTACAAAGTGCAATATTCACTTGTTTGTATTGCACATTGCGCGATTTCATTTTCTTTCGTGTAACAAGTTGCAATGCTATCTCAACGAAGTTATTTGCATTTCAATGTTTACAGTTTGGCGGGAATAATAGCAATCAAGAAAATTGCGAAACAAAAGATAAACTGTATTTCCAACTTATTTTTTTCAGAACGGAATACGAATTTAATATTACTTATCGGTGGCCGTTTAAACTAAATCTTTCATTTTGCAATATATTATTTTACAATCTGAATGTTAAATGAAGTAGTATGGAAAATATATTGATTGCTTCATGTTTTGCTCTGTAGATGGCGTAGTATACTCTTGATAGATGTCACTGTAACTGCTTTGTTGCATTCGTTTTGTGTTGCATCGGTGGGACGTTTGGAAGGAAGGAGGAATTTATGATTATTTTGATAATCGCAAACGAATAATTGACGTGTCTCTATTAACGAGTAGCTGACAGTAATTGTTGTAGAAGTAAGGAACCTGAAGTAGTCGTAGATTAAGTCTGAGTAAGCCTTCAATCCTTACAAAATGCCGGACATATCCAGTATATCCCATTACCCTTTAAAGGTAAATATTATTCAAATGACATTTACATTTTCCATTTTCTGAGATAATTTCACTCTGAAACTATTTATCCTTTTTTCTAAAGTACAATACGTTGCACGTCTTATTTGTTACGTTTTATTTCGCTTTCTTATCGCTTTTTCCTTGGCGCGTTTGCGTGCGAGTATTTTCGTCCGATATTTAATGTGACCGATTATGAGAACAGATGTCAGATAATCCCTCTAAAACCGTAATTATATTTCATGGCGGCTTTAACGTAGTTCTTTCAACGATGCATGTTCTCTAATGAATAAAGTACAATTATATAAGGGGCACGGGAATGAAACAATCCCATAACCTGTTTGACAAGTTTCTCGTATTATCCAGGCGGTTTCTACGTAACTGTAATTGAATTTTCGAGAATCTCTGTTACATAGAAATTTATTCATCTTACATTTTGAGATCATGTTTTATGATCTTATCGGATTTTTTCAGGTGATATTTGCAATTCATTTAGTGCTAGTAACATGGTAAGAATCAATTTTTTGTTTACTCTATACTAACTTGCATCTTAGATGTACAATAAACACTGTTATATGTTGAATGTTACCTCTGTATTACATAGTTGAACATACATTTTTAGGGGTATTCAGGGATATTGGTGCCCCAAGTCTGTAATGTTTTACAATTTTCTTTTCTTCGTTTGTTTAATGTGGGCTATTCACAATATCGAATCAGACGAACCTCTACAATTTGTAAGCTATCGGCCATTGATAAATATAGCGTCAAGTTTGTTTGTCTTGTATTTGTAATAGAATTATATATTCTAGGCACTATTTATAAACATACTGTCCATATTTTTTGACATTATAACATTAGCAGTCTACTTTCCGACAACCTGTAAGTTGGTGATACCGTTGAATTTAAAACTAACATCTAAAGATCGATAAATTATATCGTTCATTAACCTCCCTATGCAGAAGATGTATCTATTTGATCGCACAAACTTGTAGATGCATCTGAGAAGTTTAGTGCTGCAATTATGATCATAAACATGATTGTACGCATTATCACAAGCGTATACCTTCTACGAATAGGCCAAGCAAGAGGTGGATGTTTAGCCACGATATTTACCACAGGTCCTGCGATGGGTCAGTAACACATTGGACACAGATCCATGTTTTGTACACCTGCATTGCTTCTTCAAAGTTACGCTTTACGTAGGTGCATGAGATTATTTTGCAAGTATTATACGCATTTTATTTTGTAGAATACCTTAAGATAATTGCAATATTACGTATTTACCGTAATGCTTGATGCGATGAAAACCTTGTACAACGTATGCAAACATCGTGACCCTTGCAACGTGTTTTGTTTCGTCTTGTCCTTTTGTATGTGTGGTTTATAATAGTCGGGGGATAGGGACAGGTGTTTACGAACGTTTTTCTATTCTAGGCTTTGGTCGACAGGATTACGAGGACATATCTCATCCGATTCCGCAAAATTCCGATTTTGCTACACTCTAAGAGTATAACTTGACGTTTCTAAAATTCGATAAGTCGAAAGTTACGCGATATCATATTGTAATATCTCTCGTAGCTTGTGTAAACAACGCGCACGTATACTCACGACGTTGAAATCTATTATATATATGTATATTTTAGAATATTTAACAACGATGACATTCAATGCAAACTATAATCTTAATTTGTTGTATATACGTATACAAGTAATATCATCGTAACATGTGAATAAAAGAATCTCCACTACTACACAGAATGCCCAAAAATTCCTAAAACTTTCACGAAGCGTAATCTGAATTTGTATCGCTACGAATACAAAATGCGATTAAACGAATAGAAGAATAATACTACAAGTACGAAGGAAAAGTACATTTATTTAACACAGACATATTCTTGTTCAAGGTATTGAGCCAAGGGAAAACTATGTTCAAAGAGGCCGCGTAGCGACAGTGGCGTAAACCATCAGAATAAGGGTGGCGCCACTGATGGACTATAAGAGCCGCATCGGTGAGGCGGCGTGGTTCAGTAGTGTGCGTGACCGTTCCGGGAGGAGGGTGGCTCCACGCGCGGCCACACCGCGAAACCGTGCCCACTCGCCTCAACCACGGACGTCCACTCGTTTTCTCGTCTCGTGAAAACATGGCGGCCAGCGACGACGAGCCGATGCATCTCTACGAGGTCTTTCAGAACTGCTTCAATAAGATCGCCAACAAGCACCCCGGTGAGTGCCGTCACGTACCAAACAATTCATTTACCAGTCAGAATTGCAAGAAACATCGTGTTGTGCGTGTGTCGTGTGAAAACGTAGCAGAGGAGTCTCTTGTGTCTAGTGTCTCCTGCGAAGCAGCATGCATTAAATCATACGAGCGACGCTTTGGTGGTATTCCAGTGTCATCGAATTATTCGTAAAGAGGTTAGACAGATTTCTGTGCTGTGTAACGGTCGATCGAGCCATCGATCTCCCAAAGAATCGTGCCGGATCGTTCTCTCGACTGACTCGCTCTGTTCCTGTGTTTTGGTTTGCTTGTCAGTGCTTTGGACAGTGCTGCCCCGCCGTAGTGAACTAACCCCCCGGGAGAGATCAGTTCTTACTTGTGCTCTTTTCTATCGCTATTATTGTTCCCTGGTTCGTTTCTACTACGAAACGGAGAGTATCTAGTCGAGTGGCGTACTAGACGCCAGAAATATGGTGGCAGACATAACCTAGACACGAAGAGACTCGTCGCATATCTCGCCGCTGTCATGTGCAACAGCGTCCAGTCGACGAACGCCGTATCGTGACATGTTTGCGACTCGTGGGCTCGAGCTAAGAGAGAGAGAGAGAGAGAGAAAAAAGTAGACGTTGAAAGGTTTCGTACGTTTCGCGTATAATTTAACGTTCGTATTATCTCGCGAGAGTCGAGTTTTGAAAGTTGGCCCACGATTGGGCGAGCCCTCGATCCTGTACCACGTGTCCCCGCGACGCCGCTGTAATCGTTAGAGGTTAATCGCTCGGACGTAATGTAAGAGACCATAAATCCGAGTCTTTTTCTTGGCAGACAGCCCCGGGAGGTCTCGCGGCTACGGACTACCGTGTTTTTTCTCTCTTATTCGTTCCTTTTCATACACCTGCCTAAGAGAGAAACAGTTCCTCGCGGAACGATGCTCCACGAGCGCTGCACGAACTACGCGAAAGGGGTTCTCATTCTCCCCATTTTTTCTTTCTCTTTTCTTCTCATTTTTTCATCACCACCACCAATCTTTCGACACGTCAATACCAGCACGTGTCCGTTTGGTCCTGTTCCGCGAGAGCATGCTCACGGTGGAATATTCTTATCTGTTTTTCGAGAAACGATGTTATCTAACGCGGTGGCGTTGTCGAGCTTTGATTTATCTGCGATAAGGTGTGATAAGGACAGCGTACGTCGCTGGTAGTCGCGATGCAGCGAAATCATTCGAAAATGGTTGGTCAAAGGGAATCGTAAAGTGGACTGTTTGCGCGCGGAGGGGTAGTTGGTCAACCACACGACTCTTGGATGTTTGTTTAGCTTGAGGACGCTGTTTGGAAAACGCTGGAGGTGGTGTATGTTTGCCTGGGAACTAAACGCGTTCCCTAACCGTTTGGAAAGAAAGAAAAAAAAAAATAGGGAAGAAAAAAGAAAGCACCGCGAGTAGTCTGAAATTTTCTCGGTTAGAAGATGAGCCGCGTTTACGTTTAACGTTATATCGACTGCACGAGGCGAGCTCGTGTTTAATCGTAGATTAGATATACGATTGGTCGGCGTGTTGAGTTTTTAAACGATGTTTCGGATCAGCGTACGGGCAATTTGGAAAATATTGGTACTATCGGTTGTTTTGGATCGATCCTCTCTCGTCTTACTCTCGTTTACAGTACGATGTTTAAGCTGTGGCGGCGGTGTTAGGTTCGTTAAGCGTCAATTGTTCCGTCGAGGCGGTCGCCAATTGCCAACAATCCGGTTAATTCTACGCTCGTTTCGGCCCCGTTAATTTCAACGATTGCCACTTTGAGTGGAAACATTGTACACGACGTGCTTGCTAGCTTTTCAATTCCCAGTGAGCATGATCCGCGCCTGTCTCTCTTTCTCTCCTCGTTCATTGTCCAATTTTCGGTAAAGGGTCAGGGCGAGAGGAGGTGGTTCAAGTGCAAGGGTATCTAAAAATACTCGAAAACTGTGGCGTGCACGCTCCAGAAATATATATGTATTCTGTTGCATTTAAAAAAGAAACGTTCCTCCGGCGTTCCTTCGGCGTTCCTTCGACGTTTCTTCGGCGTTCCTTCACCGATGGTTATCTGTTAATGGAACGAGGCTCGTGCATGTTTCAAAGTCTTTGGCGCGACAGCAGCGAGATGGTGGAACGATTCGAAATTGCACGTAACGCGGCGAAAACACACCGGCGTAGATTTTAATGGTCGATTCGATCTAAAATTATCAGACGATGAGTCACGAGTAAATCTACCTGAAGCGTAGTTTGTATTCGGGAAACCGCGGGGACGATAAAACGTTCTACGAGTAAGTTGTTCACATCCCCGCGCCATTAATTATCCTTCTCGTTGATCGATGGAATACGAACGCGATGGATATTGTACATTTCTGTTTCGTGCACGTTTTCTTGCACGGAAGCAATTTCTCGGCCTGTTGGGAAAATCGACGGTCGAAGAAGGGGGCGAGGGGTGATTTTGTTTGAGCTCGTAAACGGTGGCGATGGATCCACGCGAGTCTAAGGTATTGGAAAGATTACCTTCTCGCAGGGAAACGCGCGTGGCTGATTCGATCTGACCCCAGAGCGCCATTTCTGAAACTCTCTCGTTCCCCGGAGCGAGAGTTTGAACGAACAACCATAAACGAGCTCCAGACACAACACTCGTGACTTAGCTCTCCTTCTTTCCTTCTTACTCTCTACTCCCCATCGCCAAGTTCCACGATTTTCTCTCTTTTTCCCTTCCTACCATCCGTCGCTCCCTCTCGTACTCTCTTCCCTTCTCTCTCGGGAGAATTATCGAGGGAGTGTCACCGTGATGCACCTGCCTTTTTTTTTTCTTTCCCTCTTTTTTCTTTTTCTCACTCCCACTATATCCCTCTCTTCCTGCCGCCCTCTCTCTCTTTCTCCCGTCTCGGTCGCACACGCGCCTCGGCACACGACTCGGTATCGTTATGGCTCGTGCATGGAAATTCGAATTCCGTTGGTACTCGTGCCTCTGGGATAATTCTTGCCCAACTTTTTCCCAACTATACGCTTCTCCCGTGGTTCCGCCTGGGAGAAGAAACAAGAATTGAACCGAGAAACAGGTCGTTAACGAGGCACATGAAAACGTGAAACGAAGGGGAAAAGGTTCCCTTACGAGACTTTTCGACCGTCTCCTTAGGAAAGGCCAAGTCCAAAGTGCGTTTCACGCACGGGCCTCGCACACAAATCAAGGATGAGCATAATCTACATTTACAGCAGGGGCCCGATGAGCATCTGCTTCTTCCACCCCTCTCGGCCTCGGCCCCTCATCCCTTTCTCCTCCGACCCGAGAGCATCCTCCCACCGTGTGCACATTCTCTCCCGATCACGATCGTATCGTTTCCTCCTCGTCTGCCTGCGTGCAACTACACCACGCTCGTTTCCTCCGTCCCGTGTCTCGTCGTGTCGATAGGTCACGCCGGATGATCGTACGAGAGCAGCAGGGCGCGCGCGCGCGCGCCTTATCTTTCGACCATTTCATTGCTGTTATTATGCCGCGGTATCGCGGTGACTAACGAAAGAAATAATTCTTAGCAAAACCGACTTTTCAATTCGTCCCGATTTTTTTCGACCCAACGCTCCTCCCGCTTGTACTGCGCCTTGGAACACGTACGTACGTATGCAGATACAGACACGAGCTCCTTTTGCGTTCTTCGCGAAGCGGATAAAAATACGCGAGGCTGATAAAACGCTTAATGACTCGTTCGCTTTGTATACCAGCGCAGATTCAATATGCATTAACGTTTTTTCTTCGAGCACGAACGTCTTTCGGTGACGATCTAAGGTCATCGGAGGGGATCAGTAATACGCGATACAGCGATACTTTTGTGCGTTTCAATCGTGTAACGTGCGGTTCTTTGAAAAGATGGAGAAGTCGGATTTTTCACTCGGTAGATCTCTCTACGCCCGTGGCTAACATAGAGATTTACTCTAGGGAGTCGAGAGAGAGAGAGAGAGTGGATGGAAAGGGGTTGGAGAAGTTGGCGAAACGGGCGACTCGAATTCCTGACTAATGCAAGTCCCTCGTTACCGAACGTGCGCCGCCATTCGCCGCGCTCCCGTTATGGTCGATATGAATTTGCCACAGCGTGAAACACCATCGTCCTGAAACTCTCCTCTCCTCTCTCTCTCTCTCTCTCTCTTTCGTCGCCGTCGACTGGTCTCGGTAAATTCGCGATGCTCCGCAGGGAAGAGCAAAAGTCCATTAGCCGCCGCGAGAACTGGGTTACCGAAAGGGGCTCTCGGCGATTCTGTATTTGGCGCGTGTCGTTCCCTTTCGCTGATCGACTCCACGCGACGCGATTCCCTCCGATCTCCGTTCCCAGAGAGCTGGAAGATCGTGCAGGGGCGTGCTCGTTCCTTTTCCCAAAGACGAGCATCCGTCGTCTCCTCGAGAGTCCCTTGGCGTATCCTGCTATGTTTCATTGGCGTAGACTCTTCCGTTCTCAACTTCGTTTTCATCTCGCCTCTCCGTAGATCGGAGAGAAAGGGACGGAACGGCAGAGGATAAGACGCGGGCAGGAGGAACGTGTGCCACCTGTAGTGGATGGTTGTAATCGGCGAAAAGCTGGCCGCACGCTGTAGTGTGCGGGCATTTACACGCGTGCTGCACAAGTGCGCGCCGCTGGTGGGTCTGTCGGTGCGGCGCCGACCTGCACCACGCTTTCCGAATAGACATCTGGCCAGATTTCGTTAAGTCTGGCCCACGTGTACACACCTATATAGAAGCGGTGTACGCCGTACGCGACACAAATGTGCATTCGCCTCCTGGCGCCGCCGCTCGAAAAAGGGGGCTCTGATTTTTTGGCAGGTGCCACTGTCCTCGAGCCACACCGTCACCTTCTCACGTTCAACGGCCTCTTCGCAGACGGAGAATTGGAAGGAATTGGACGGAGAGATTCCACGGGTCAGCCTCGAACGTCGAACCTCGTCTGTGCCCTGTAATTTCTCTCTGGCCATCTTCGATTATCGTTCTTCTCGCCCTCCTCCAGAAGA